CCTCCCTTCCTTCCTTCCTCCCTTGCTTCCTTCCTTCGGGTCTATTCCCCTGTTCCTTCCCAGGATGCATGGTATCCTGGCAATGTTTTCCATGTTGTAGGGTAACATTTTGTTGCTTGTTTCCCAGTAATGGAACTAATGCCTGGCGGAGACTTTCTCTCATACCTTCGCAAGCACAGCGGCCAACTTCAAATCCCTAAGCTCGTACGATTCAGTATCCATGCGTCATCCGGGATGGAGTACCTCGCAAGCAAAAACTGTATCCATAGAGATCTAGCTGCCAGGAACTGCCTGATAGGAGATAGAGATACACTCAAGATATCAGATTTTGGAATGTCAAGGGAGGTTCTTGACGAAGGTACGTTTGAAGGTAGTCGGCTAAGATAACATGAGTTTGGTCTCTATCTTTCTCCGAGTTTTCCCCCTCCACAAAACTCAACACGCTAAATTCAAATTTGATATGTGAGTTAGCCCTGACTTAAGGCCGGTTTAGACGGTACGATTAGCCATGCCCTGACTTAGTTCAGCCCAGAGGATGTTTCAGAGTTCAATCTGTGTGTTAGCCTTGCCCTGACTTAGATCAGCCCAAAGGTTGTTTCAGGGTTCGTTCTGTGAGTTAGCCGTGCCCTAACTTAGATCAGCCCAGAGGTTGTTTCAGGGTTGGATCTGTGAGCTAGCCATGCCCTGACTTAGATCAGCCCAGAGGTTTTTTTAGGGTTCGTTCTGTGAGTTAGCCATACCCTGACTTAGATCAGCCCAGAGGTTGCATCAGGGTTCGTTCTGTGAGCTAGCCATGCCCTGATTTAGATCAGCCCAGAGGTTGTTTCAGGGTTCGTTCTGTGAGTTAGCCATGCCCAAACTTAGATCATCTTGGAGGTGGTTTCAAAATTCGTTATGTTCTCTTTGCATCTTTACCTTTTTTATTTCAGGTCTGTACGAAGCGTCTAACATGAGAGAGATTCCGGTCAAGTGGACAGCACCTGAAGCACTAAACTACGCCCAGTACACAACACTCAGTGATATATGGAGCTTTGGTATATTACTATGGGAGACCTTCTCATCCGGGAACACTCCATATCCTGGATTATCTAATAAGGTACTAGAGAACCTCTCTTAAACGACCACTTGTTAAGCGACCAACCTTGATTTAACGACCAGTCGGTAGTCCTAAAGAGAAATCGTGCACAAAATCGTAACTCTGTTTAGCGACCAGTCATCCAAGTCTCAAACAGGGTTTTTGTAGTATACCATATTACTTATTGACTGAGTGGGAGGGCCGTACGGGAATATATTTGGCTCAAGGTGATAGATGCCGTACGGACCGAACGCAGTTTTATCATATGACCCTCACGAAAAGAAAAATAATAAAAGAAAAGAAAGAAATAGTAAATAAAAGCTAAAAAAGAGAAAGTGCGCGGATTCGAGCAGGGCCGTATGGATTCAGTCGTACTACCCTGCTCGCTCAAAGACGTACGGCCCTGCTCACGCCATTTTCCCGAAGGTTTTTTTAAGAGCGCGCACCCGGGTAGATACGGATCATATGATAAATACCTTTATTAAAGTGCATTTTATATGTTGGTGTAAAATTYCGTAAGGAATTGCAGTAATGGATAACAACAAGGCGGTCTTATTTGATGTCATTAGGTTCGGCTCATGTGAAGTTCGATGTTAGACATGCCGTTCACAAGCCTAAGCCAGCTATCACTAATTTGCAACTAGTTTTCAAAGTCAAGAGGGTTTTTTTTTGCATTATTAATACCTCTATTAAGTGACCAGACTCTATTTAGCAACTGGTTTTCAAAGTCGCAAAGAATTTTTTTTCATTGTTATTAATGTATACCTTTCTTAAGATTTTTGTTGACATATGTTTCTTCAGGACACTCGGGACAAGGTGGAGCAGGGCTACCGCATGCCACCCCCCCTCGGGACGCCTCCGTCCATCTACAAGATCATGAAGGACTGTTGGAATATTGAACCTGAACAAAGACCTAAATTCAGCGACATTCTCAGGCGATTAAAACAAATTGAGAGCACAATGTCATAAAGATCATGTGACGTTGATGTCCTGCTGCAGTTTATGGGATAGAATGAAGCAGTTGCCTGCAGTATTAAGGTGTCAGCGGTATGAGTTTTGATCGTGGAATGACGTCCATAGAAATATTTAGATTGCGTTACTTGTTGAAATAGAGGGGAAAGGATTTATTTTTTAATTTTAATTTTTAATTTTTAAATTTCCTCAAGATGTTGCGGGTTAGATAATTGTTAATTTTATTCCAAAGTTGCCGTTTATCAAAATTTGCTTTTCATCTCTTTCATGGTTGGGATCCCTTTGTATTTTTTTATCAAACCACAGGCAGCCCATCAAAGAAGCAGAATAGTTAAAAAGAAATTTATTTTTACTTTTATTTTTTTTAAACGCTTGAAGTTAATGATTCAAAGTTTGAAATAAGGTTGGCGAGCCCTGTGTGTGGTCAATCAGCACTTCACAGGAAGCCAACCAAAGAAACAAACGAGAGAGCAAAAAAGAACGCCCAACGAAAATACTAAGAATATGTATATTTTTAATGTTGTATTGTATATTTTGAGACAAAATTCATTCTAGGGTATAGAAAGTATCAGATAGGTTTAGTTGTAGAATTTATTTAGAAAATTATATTTATATTAGCTTAACACAGAGTCTGAGCTTTTCTATAATTTAGTGGCATTTTACCCCGTGTTTCAGGCACTCTCTCGCCGCAGTGTTTCTAGATCGTAGGCTTCATAAACTCAGGAAGCCTAGAATGAGCGAGCCTTTGAAACTGGRGTAGTTCCACTGTAAGATTTATAGAAGGACACTTTTAAAACAGCTGCTATGTTGATTGATCTAATCTGTTGGTTGATCTCTCGACAAATCAACGTGGTAGCCTCTGTCACTTCCAGACACAAAAATTTAACTGGATGTGACACAGGTGACCAATATGGTGGCTATGACGTAACGTGCATTCCAAGAATACTTATATAATGTTTGAATATAAAGTGAAATAAGTCCCACGGTTCCCTGCGCCATCTTGAAAGGTAGCCGTGCCTTTGCATCGAAGCGAGACAAACGTTGAGCTTGCAATGATAGAAACCTTTTTTAACACCTTGGACAATTATTCACAGGTCTCTATCATTGAAAGCTCAACGTTCGTCTCGCTTTGATTCAAAGCCCCGGCTAGCTTTCAAGATGGCACAGGGAACTGTGAAGGGGACTATTGTGATTATAGGAATACTTCATGTTTAAAACTATTGATAAATATTGATGGTATTTGATATATTTTACCAGTTACACTTCCATCTGCTGTGAGCTTAGTCAAACTCAAGTGCGGGACATTGCATTGCATTTTGGACTGTTTAAGTGACGTAAGAAATAGATGCCATCTTAGAAATGTGACCTCTAAAACAGTCCCACAATGCACTGCAGTGCCAACTCGGCCCAGTTTATTTCCCCTCGACCTCGGAATGGGTAATAGACCCCAAAAGTACCTACTATATTAATAGGCATTACATAGTACAATTAAAGTATTAGAAGTTATAAATAATTATAGAAGAAATGTACAGTATATTATACTCCAGTTTCCAATTCTCTGTTCTACAGGGTTAGCCTGGATTTCTTCTGGAATTGCTTTGAATATTCATGCATTCCATTGAAGGTCCATGGAATATCAAAGTGTTTGTACATGTATTGTTGAAGTTGTACATTCTTTACTTTACCGTTGGTATTTGTGAATATTTAGACACTAAAATGAGGCTAACCCTTTAAAAAATGAGTCTGTGATTAAGCAACAGCAAATTTGAGTAATAGACCGTTTTCTCAAGGTTGCGTGCGCATCCAACTTGACACACCACAAAAATGAAAAACGCAGTAAAATTGATAAGCCAGTTTTATTTTTTTATTTTTTAGTTCCATATTTTTAAAAGTTTTAATCTTTAAAAAGAGAAGGAAATCTCATAGAAATATAAGATAATTCTCATTATAAGCTCCTGTTCTGTTATCGTGGCCCGACAAGTTCCTTAAATTTGGATGCGCACGCAACCTTGAGAAAATGGTCTATTGTTGGCAAAAGCTTTAGATTATATCGTGTATAAAATTGAAATGTTATTATTTTTAAATACTATTTTCTTGAAAGTTAGAAATAATATTCCAAGTAAAATTTAAAAAATGATCAATCAATTAACTTTGTTTATAAAGGATAACACTTGACAGTAATTCAACTAATGCCAACCCAGGAGTGGATCCAGGAATTTTTGAAGGGGGGTGAATATTACAAAGATTTTATCAGGAGTGAAAGAAAAAAGTTAGGAAGTGGGGGGAGGGGGGGTGGGAATGCCGTTGACTGTTGATAATGCAGGGCCTGGCCCACCCCCAAAAATATTGGTTCTTAGTCATTGTTTTACGGCGCATGCATCTGCAATCAAACAAAACATTGTCATTATCACATAGCGTTAAATATAATCTTCAGTGCCCCCCCTCCCCCCCCAAAGATTTTTGCAGTGCCCCCCTGAAGATTTTAGCTTCCGCCGCCCCTGTAATGATAAAATGAGAAATTTGATCAAAAGGGGGGTTACCAGTCACCCCTGCCACCAGGGCTGGAGACATTGTGATAATGGTTGACAAATTAACTACCTTTGACACTACATACATGTAAAGATACTAATGAAGAAATCTTCAAGTAAATAACGCATGGTTTGAAATAGGAAAACATTACAACATATATTTAGTCTAAACATACTAAATCACAAATCCAACACTCTTATTGGTTGTGCTACTAGTGATCTATTAGTAATAGTCCACTACTAGCGAAAAGTTACAGTTGTTTGGAAATAAAGCAGAAACAATGTAAATAATAATAAYAATGGGGTTCTTTTATAGCGCATTTCACAATGTCTCAATGTGCTTTACATTGCAGTGGAAAACTTTACGGGCTGCATATTAGGGTGCTATTAGCAGCCGTGCAGCTTACAATCACGAGTGATTTATTAGTACTGTACATTAGTGTTAGGCCTCCGAATTTAAAACATATCATTTCAATCTGACTAATTTCAAAAATGTTTGTATCCATTTATTTAACAATGAGTCCGTTTATACTAAAACAAACCCTAAGAAACTACTTTATTCGTACTCACGGTTTACAACTCAATAGTCCATCTGGCCTTCGGCCTCATGGGCTATAATTGACTTGTAGACCATCTTGTCTGGGGTACAAATTGTTAAATGTTATAAATGAACAGGGCTTAAAATAACAGCCAATCAGTCGCCAGCCATGATCTTGGATTAATYTTAGCTCAGTCATATCTCATTTCTGGCTAACCAATACCAGTCAAAATGACTGGCAAAGCAAATGTCTGGCCCGAAAAAAGTCTCAGCTCAGTGAGCGACTGGACATTGTCTGATGTTTGGCCGTTATTTTATGCCCTGAAGGGTCCATTAAAGTATGATATGTAGTATGTCAGGCTGGGCTACCTGTGGTATGAGCATGAATTTAGCTTTCACTGGCTACTGGTAATTTCACTGTCAAAACTTTCTTGGCTTTATTGAATGATGCCGACACCTGACTGTCATTAATCTTCTGCAGCAAATCAATTTCTAGCTTGTACAGGGAGTTTACCTCAAGTAGCAAGTCATCCTAGGAAACATTAATGAATTATGTAAATGGTGGGTGGGTGGGTGGATGGAGGGAGGGAGGGAGGGATGGATGGAGGCAGGGAGAGAGACAGGGAAGAAGGGAGGGAGGGATGGATGGATGACTGACTGCAAGTAGGTGGATGAATAGATGAATGAATAGATTAACTTACTTCTGATACATCCAGCTCACATTCACCAACAGACCCCACACCAGGTAACTCCACCATCACTACAATTTGCTTTGGTTTTCCATTCTCTGAATTCTTCACAATAACTTCATGATGTGGTGTTTTCACATTGGTACTATTTGTTTCAGTTGATGAAATCTCCTCAATAAGTCCCTTTTTTACATTTTTTGAACTGCTTTCCAGCAAGCTTATTCCTTCTGTTTCTTTACCATCTAAATCTGTGACCGCTAATGACGACAACTGCTCCAAGAGAGCATCCTTCGACCCAGAATCACCAATAAAATTGGACTTCTCGTCTAAATTTGAATTTCTGTTCTCAAACTTCCCATCAACTGGAGTTGTAAGATACCTCTTTAGGCTTGAACTATTACCCTTGAAGTTCATTTTAAGAGATTTATATTTTTTTGATAAACTGCACTTTTTTGTTTCCTCTAAATAATCTAATGCCAGGTGAACAARAAGGTTGCAATGATCCATCTTGTGCTTGATGTCCTTCAAGACTTTATCATTGAATATGACATCAACAACGGAATAAGGTGATACGTCATTGGATATTTTTTCAATAGGACCTGCCATTACTGGGATAGGATCTTGGTCGGTCTTAGGACCAGGTATTTTATCCCAGCAGCATATGTTGACATAGACTTTATGAGTTATGACTTCGGGTAACTAGAAATAAAAAGAATATATAACTTAATTATGAATCATTAATTAATTCAAGATTAATTCTTATTGGGTCTGTTAACAATGTACACCATTTCAATTCAAAATAGTACAATAAGCAATTATTGGATGAGGTTGAGCATGATACTGTAAATTATCAAGACCAAGGCTGTGTTATCTGCCGAAGCCGAAGACTGAGGTAGATAACACAGCCGAGGTCTTGATAATTTACAATATTATGCGATAACCGAATTCAATAATTGCTTTATTATACATTTTGTATATTGGAAAAACATTACCATGAACATTAAATTATAGAGACAAGAATTATGAACAGCATGATGTCGCAGGAAAAACGCAAAAATTTTAATTCAAAAATATTTTAAGAATTCTTCATAAAATATATGAAAATAAGTTAAGGATTCCTTAAATAATTGTTTTTGAACATAATTCTGGAAATAAATAATGAATAAAAACAAAGCTACCACAGCGTGACCTTGAATGAACTTGACATGATAAAATAATGTATTATCTTAAAGGAAAACCTACAGATAATTCATTTATCATTCAGTTCACACGATATCAGGGATGGCCTGAGGGCTCTCAACCAATCAGAATTGAGATACTTAGTAACATGTGTAATAATAAGCTTTATTAATTCATCACCAAGGGGTTAAAATTTCCAAATAAATTCACAACAAATGTTTCAAATTATGAAAATGCTGAAAATATATTTTTTAACTAATCTATTTATTCCTCGATTGCATGTTACATCATCGCGGCCTCTCTGGGGGAGTGCTGGTACCATTTAACAGAATATTTCTTATTAGCATCTATTGTTAAAGGCGCCACGATTTCCACCATGTTTTTGTCTTTTAGCTCTCTTGGGAATGCTTGCAACCCATCAATTACTGAACCTTTAAGGTGGCTGCCTACTTTTGAACGTTCGAATTGAGCCCACGATGAGTGCGCGCTCAAAAACCGCTGAAAAATCTACAAGATTTTATTGAAGAACCATACGCATTTTGAGCTTCAACAGAGCAAAACCCTCAAATTTTGCACGGGACTCTATATTTTTTGATAGCTCATTCGAAAAAAATCCTAAAAATCTAGGTTATATCAACATTTTAGGAAAAGTTTAAATCAGGAACACGTGAAAAAATAGATTTTTGTAGGGATTTTTGTTCGACTTTATGAGATTTTTTAAGAGCACGAAACTACAAAATATGACAAATCAATGTATCTCTCTGTCTTTTTGTCGAAAATATCCATGTATTATGGTAGAATGATTGACTAGCCTTTATTCATGCAATCATATAGTCTGCAAATAACTATTATCTTATGAATCTTAATTTTTTTCTAATCACTTCCGGTGGCGCAAGTTTTACTCCAAAAGCTCGTGCGTAGGCTTCCATTAAATGCTGATTATCTCGAAAACGAGCTGGGGACACCCTATTTTTCTTTCCAGATTTGGAATCAGCATTAAATTTCAATTCGGAAAATCGAAGTTTTAAAAAAAGCTTAAATCAATTTCCAAAAGTAGGCAGTCACCTTAAGTGATTTTGCTTCGCCCGTGAAACAAAGCTGTATTATTTAGTGACAAACAGTCAAAACACAAAAAAAAAAACAATGTACTTCGTGTCTACATGTACTACTCTTTTTTTCTTATGTACTACTGTGTATTACAATAACTTTTCTTTTACGAGCAAAGTAAAAATTGCCCTAGTTTTGCCTCTTAACAACCATGGCCTCCTTGACAACGAAACTTACCAAGATTGTGCTGATACAGAAGCATGGATGAGGAGGTTTAAATTCCTTAGAACCGTCCTTCAAAGTCTTATCTATGAATTTCTTGTAGCCTTCAGGATCAGTATCTGCAAGATCATTTAGCATTTTCCAAACACTGTCAGCTTGTTGTAAAACGTCTGAAGAAGCCATCTTGTCCGCCATGTTGGATGTGAAACGTGTTGGGGTATGGGAACTAACACAGGGAGCCCAAGGACATTTAAGCTGTGACGTTAATACTATCTTCTGATGAAAGCTATAAAAAGAATTAATTAGTTAAAAATAAATGAAATTAAAAATAAAAAAACAGTCAGGCTCACGCTAATATTGAGTTATTTGTTATGTTTCTCCAATTCAGATCAATCGCCGTTTTCTTGCAAATAAGATTACTTGTCTGAGTTGTATCCAGTATCCATGTGTTTTCTCATGTGCAACCGTTAAACAAAGAAATGATACTCTAGGGAATGACACATGGACACCAGGTCTGAAATGGGAAAACATTACGTATACCCAAGGCATAAAAGAGTTCTGATGTTTATATAGAAATCAAAAAATATTGTAGCGAAAAGTGCTCTCAGTGAAATAGTCTTTAACTGGAACAATATAGAAATTTGGACAACAACAACAACAACAAAAGCAAACTACCAAGGAAAAAAAATAACAGCAAAAAATGAATAAAATTAAAGTAAGAAAAATCTTTAGAGAACAGTTTTTTATATAGACCCAAAAGTCATTATTTTCCCATGGCAAGTTACGTCATACTCATAGATTCTCACGATGACTAAAGCTAACTAGTTGAATACAGTTTGTGCAATCATTTGACTCAAAATCCCTTAAGATATTAATAACAATGAAATAGCAACCGCCATCTTCGTTGGTCTAGTACAAGAAGCTAATGAGGAATGCTTTGTTATCGTCAACCAAGATGGCGGCTATGACGTAACATGCACCCCGAGAATGGTGAGATAACGATGGAACACTGAGCCGCCACGTTGGATGATCTAAAAAGAGAAGCTAATGAGGAATGTTTCGTCATTGTCAATCAGCATGACAGCTATAACGTTAGATCCACCCCAAAGCTAGGAGGATATCAATGAAACAGCCGCCATGTTGGTTGATCTAACAAGAGAAATTAATGAGGAATGCTTTGTTATCGTCAACCAACATAGCGGCTATGACGTAACATGCACCCCAAGAATTAGCGCCTCAAGCAGCTCGTAACATTTAAGTAACATTGAAGTACGAAAATGCTTTATCATGGCTCATGAACTCTCTCTAGGGAGGTGTACTGGACCATGTATACTAGATAAATATTTAACTCAAACAGGAAAAAGCCAGTACATAGAAAGTCACGAAGTAAGACAAGTCATTCACTGTCGCTGCTTGTCAGGTCGGTGAAAAAATATATGACTTTTTTTTTCTGCAATTCTTTGTTAAGAATCCTTTCTAATGTGTGACCTTATTTGAAAACTATACTAATTGAGTTCTAGATCTAAAATAATTTAACTGAAAGTTTGAATACTAGTCATTAATATCGATTTAATGATTTGAGTGCTATGGAGTGATATCTCTTAAACAGCTTAAAGTCACAATAACACATTATAGTTCTTTTACAAATACAACAACGGCTCGCTTCCTCAGCCATATTTAAAAAAAAATTAAAATCCCAGCTTTCCGGACTAATTATTAATTATTAGTCATTAATAAGGCATTATACATTATACTCGATCGAAAGTATTCACGTCTGAAGAAGAAGTTACGCTCCGAAAGCGTTTAAATTTACTTTACGTTTAACATTTTACTGGATTATGAAGAGAATGTTAGATATTTTTCACAAGGTCCCAATATCGTATAGTTAGACGTTTTGCTACATGCGCTCGCTTCAATTACTCATGAATAACTCATAAGCTATTGATCTTATTGGAGCGCCATACACACCACGTGCATGTGGACCTTATTTATACCAGATAATTCCCTCTTCATTAGTATCCATTATATAAATACTAACACACACTGTAAAAATGACCTGGCTATATGACTATGACTATATGACTTTGTGGCTAAAGACATGAGATGGTTATAACCATTTCACGTTAGTTAATTCAGGTTAAAGCTACCTGTTCGAGTTTGCCGGTTAAAAACGTAAAATTACATTAAAAAATTACACGTTCGTATTTTGAACGAGCTTTATAAGCTCTTATTGATTGATTGATTGATTGTGAAGGAATAACGAAATATGGGGAATGAAAAACGAGGAAAAAAGGAAGAAAAGAAATAATATCCGGAGAAAAAAAATTTTGGTGTCTTGATAAGTTGAGAACGAAAAATAAAAAGAAAGAAAAGAAAAGAAAAACTTGAGCAGCCATAAGTTTAGGTCTTTTTCATTTTTATTTATTTTGATATATGGCTTTTTAAAAACGACTTTTATTAATGCAAACAGGGAATATATATATAAGCATATTATGCAAACAAAAAGGTATATATAACGGAATAATTTATGCAAGTATTTGCTTCTATATGTTTATTATAAAATATACACATATACATATATAACGGAATTTATGTAACTAACTACTCGCTTAAATTCTGTTATATACTAAACACTATATAACGGAATTTATGCAACTAACTACTCGCTTAAATTCTGTTATATACTAAAC